TTGGGGAAAGAATATTTAATTTTGATGAAAGTTTGACGGTGGAGATGCGATCGCGTCTTCAAATTTCTTTTTTTTGTTTTGTTTTCAGTGGTCAGATCTCTTATCGCTAAGCGACAGTGTTTTTGCAGAATAATTGATAAACCAATCACATCTGATTTTATTCCAACCAATATATTTATTTAAAGAAAAAAAAAAGAGATTAGATTCTTTTTCTTTCTTTTTTGGTAGGATACTGAAAATGGGTATATATATTACTGGAATTTACTACCCTAGTACAATAGTAGTTAATTTCATAAATTATGATGGCACATATCATAAGGATATGAATTAAAGACTATTGGATAGTGATATTTACGAATTCTAAATATATGTGAAAAAATGATTTTTCAATGTAATGATGATACGGTTATCCTCAAGTGGTAAAATGTGGTGGATAATAATAACCAAGTGTGTCTGATTGTAAAAACTTGTATCACTAAAGATGTCGTGGTTTAGTGATAACATAAGAAAATTGGTTTTTTTTAAATCTTAGATTTAATTTTTTTTTGGTATGGAGGATTATTCTCTAAATCGGAATATCTAAAAGGTGATTTCAGATACTGAAGAAATTATGGACCAAAGGTTTGGAAATTACACCGGTTATAAAAAAACACTTGTATCACTTTTTGGTTATAGAAGAGCAAAGGATAATAAATGCAAGATAAATCGATGGTAAAAATTTGTATCACCTTTGATTATAAAAAAATGTGACGGATAATGTATAAGAAAACAAATGACTTTGTAGCTTTTTTTTGTGTGTGAAAAATATAAATCAGTAGCTACACACAATATATGGTTCATTTTGACGCTATTTACACAAACATAAGGAATGCATTCTTTGGCATCCGAAGAAGGTTTTATAAATGAATTTGGATATATTCATTTTCTTCTTTTTTTTTGTCGGCATATATATTCATTTTCAATTATTAAGAGACGGCCTCTTGTCTTTTCATTGAAATGGAAAATAAGATAAATAATGGTTAACATTAAATT